TCTTTAATGATTTGTAAGTAATTTTTTTTTTTTTTTTTTTTTTTTAAATTTAGGCTTTCTAATGCTAAAAGCAAGCTGGAGTTTTGAGTTGCTCTCCACCTTTTAGGAGTTTTGCCACTTGGCCTGCCTAACACAGCTGTCAGAGGGTGTTACAATCAGGGAATCATTGATAAAATGTACAGAGAAATCTTTTACTCTCTTTTCTGCCTTTGTTCTTCCTTTCAAGTTCTGTGTATTATCTTTTTCTTGGTACCATATAAGTTAACCTAGAGTTTGCTACATTTTATAATATGTTAACTTTGGTCCATCATTTGCATTTAAACAAATACTTTTAAAAGCATATGCTTAAAGGGAAATCTCTTTTATCTTACACATTTCATGTATTTTCAAAGTACATGCTTTAGTCTTTACTAGTTTTGTCTTTGTTTTCCTTTTATGTAAAGAAGCATAACAGAGAGAATATTGCATGGATTACTTGGATTTAAAACCTTTTTTAACCTTGAAATAATTATTTGTGGAAAAACATGGTATGAATATGCCACTAAATTTTGAGGAATTGCTACCACAGCTAACTAAAATTAAAGCTAAGTGATGTCAGATTCAGAAACAATAATGAGATACTGCTGATGTTTTTTCAGCTTGGAATTCTAGGTACATACTAAGACATTCTATCTGAATTAAATTTTTGACCCTGCTTTGAGCAGGACTTTGGGCTGGACACGTCTTTAAGTCCTTTGCAATCTGAATTATATTATGACAGGGTGCCTATCTTACCACTAAATGTTTAGGCATTCCTTTATGTTTAGATGAGGCTGGGCTGGGCAGCTAGGAGTGTGATTATCTCTTCTGATACTTCGGCAACTGGACAGACGTCTCAGGAGTCATTCAGAAAGCGTGAAGGGGAATGTTGGGGTGTGTAGAGAAGGGAGCAGATGTCATGAATTTTGTCACTGGTGTCACCTGCCTCTTCATAAAGTATGCTGAGGTGGGTCTTAAAGGGGTGGACTAGATTCCAGCAGAACAAATAGCTAATTTTGTCTCAGTTTCTTACATATTCAGTAGAGAGAAGTAGACAGCTAAAATAAATGATCCGTATCTGACTCTGCAGGTCTTCAGAGGTGTGTTTTCATTCAGCATTAAATACAGTCTAGAGATGCTAAGTCTTCAGGGTGTCTAACTACAAGGGACTTTATGGTGACCGTGTTGGTGAAATGAGGCAGCTGTCTGCCTATCTGTCTATTAATTTGTTATGTGTGTGCATGTGTCTTTATATAAGAGTAAATTAATCTATATATATTGACATTTCTTTGTCACCTTCTAATGTTTGTGAAACTTCTGTGGTTCTGTATTAGGGTAAGTGCTGCTTCCTGACAGTACAGGAACTATTGGCAATTTCCAAATTTTGCAAAAATTCCATGCCTCTTAGGTCAAGCTATGTGGTGCAATTGCTCCACTTGTGTACTGGGTCCTACTGAGCACTGTTAGTTTTTTCCTTATGGTTCAGGGTGTTTCAGAATGTTAATTTTTTTTTTTGTTTTGAATCTATTTCTCTTTTAATAACTTTGAGGGCCAGTAAGGGAACAGAAGGATGGGTGGCAATGAAGTTAAATAAGATAGATATTAATCTGGTAAGTGGGAGATACATTATGGAGAGCAATAAATAATTTTTCCCTTGGGAAAGGTGACTAGAGAACTTAAGTTGTATGATAATTTTGTTTCAAGACAGTAATTTTCATAGGATAATATTGCACATTTCTGAGTTTTAGTATTTCTTATCTTAGTATTTAGGAGGTGATTGTTGCTGCTGTACAGGGATTGCTATAACATCTCCATTCTAGTAACCGTAAACCCAAATCCTTTTTAAATCTTAATTTGCATGCCATAGACATATCTCAATATGTACACACTCACTTTGTACAGTTCTTAGATGTTACTCAAAGTTTACCCTGACCTTTGTCTATACCTATTATCAAAAGATTAACAAGTGCTAACAGGCTTACAGTGTAGTCACATTGCAGTGCTGGTTTTCATGTAGAGAAAAAAAGAAATCCCTACAATTTCTAAAATTTTGAGAGGAATTGTATAGGCATCTAAGAATCTGGTGATCTGCTATAGGATGATGTGCTGTGCAACAGATCTCGAGTCACTTCACTATTTTTCCACAAGAGAGCTTGTAACCCTTTAAAAAGTGGCCATGTATGACATAGAACAAGGTAACAGCTTGTCTGGTTGAAAGGGAAATTCAGAGATTAGAATTTAGTTGTGGAGTCTAAAGCAAATTAACTTTTCTTTGTGCTACTGTATTTGGCAATTCTAGTACTGTAGCATAGTTTTTATAAATATGGAAGCATCAATCATTTCTGAATGGGGCTGCATGTCACTGAAACAGAGATCTTGGCAAGTGTGTGTCTGTATGCAGTAGGTTATAAGCTGCACTCTTTAGAGCATTACCTGACATTTCCACTGTGTAGGAAAAATTTACTACCTTTGCCATGTAAGTTCTGAAGTGTATTGACTCAGGCTTTCTTGATGAATTTTCATGTTTTTCTATTAAATTATTGCTACAGAGTAGATCAATTTCCACTTTATCCTAGAGCAGAATTAAATGAAGTCAAATTGTTGCATCATATTGTTTGAGATCATAGTACAATTATTACATTAAAATAGGAAAAAGTTTTAGTAGCTAAAGTAACTTGTATGAACTAGAAAATGGGTTGAAATCTTCTGAGCTCTTTCTCTGGTAAGCCGTAAGACATAACGGAATTTCTCCTAATCTTTGTGAAACTAAATGTGCTCTGGCACTAATTCAATTGCTTTCCACTTGTGAAGTTTTCTGAAGAATGATTTGAAGATCAGAAAACTTCTAGCTAGAGCTGCTGTATCTCTCATGGTTTTGAATGATATGTTGCCTGTCAGATCATTTGCAATGCAAACTGCTTTGATGTTTAACATCTTCTTCTTTTGCATCTCCATAATCCTTTATATTTTAAGTGTGATATAAATAACCCTAAATCTAAATACTGGTGAATCCCACTTCTTTTAATTAAATGAAACTTAAGGATTCTGTTAAAATACAAAAATGAGGACAGGTTGAGAGACTCCATTTGTCACTCTGTTATATTGAGGGATGAGAGTCTCAAAAATATCTGTGGTTCACCAGGGCTATATTCCTCTTTCTCAATTGCTCTGCAGCCCTTCCTCACAACTATGATCATGCTCCCCTCTGGACTGAAAAAGTAGGGAATTTTAATAGCCCAGAAGAATAATTATACCCACTGATTGGTCTAAGGAACAAAGCTGTTATACAGACTTTATTAACTTCAGCAATCATCTATTCATATAGTATTTTGAGTGCTTTATAATAAAAAAGCAGGATAAACATTATGCTAATATAACTTAGATTTGGACCCGGTATGTCTGTATATACGTAAAACACAGCACTAAGGGACTGCTGTAAGTGCAGAAATGTAGAGATTTAAATTAATACCTAAAATTTCATTATTAATCCTGAGTTTTACTTCTCTATTGCAAGCAAGTCTTTTATCATTCCAAAGGAGTTTGGTTTTACTCTATCTCATTCTTATCTTTAGATACTTATTTGCATATATGTGTGTTGTGCCTGTAGGCACTCCTGGGGTATATGTATGTACCTATACATGCACAGGGATTTAATGGGCTTCTGTAACAGTTTTCGCCACATCTGTCTTTCCTTAAATTGTTCGTTTCAAGTGTGCATTTATGCTCCTGTGTTCTAGTCTCAGCCTGTTCACTTACCATCAATTATTTGTCCTAGTTACAATAGTGTCTGAGTTACAATTAAGGTGCACTGTTCAGTCTCATACTTGGTGAGTACTAACATTTTTTTTTCATATTTTTGTTAGTACCCAGATAACTACTATTTTGGTTTATGTTTCTGTAACACAGTGATCAGCATAGACATATGCTAATTTAGAGTTTTTTATGCTATATGTAGTTCTTAT